AACACAATTTTCATACATTCAATAATATTTATCGTAGAATATACTTTCCATCGTTACTTTTGACTTCTTGCCAGCGTGATGGCAACTTGTAAATGCCATTTTCAAAAAATGATTCATTTTTAGAGGCGAAGTGCATGGTCGACATCAGCTTCGGTTTTGAATTTTTTTTCCTGTAAAAAGTTTTGCAAAGGGAGAAACAAGTGATAATCGGAGGGTGCTAGGTCCGGGGAGTATGGCGGATGCGACAGAATTTCCCAGCCTAGCTCTGCGATTTTCCGACGAGTCGCCGAAGCAGCATGTGATCCGGCATTATCATCGGTAGCCATGTTTTCACGATCGCGTCTCGCTTAATAACGACACGAGACATCTTTGTTTCAGTTCATTTAGGAGAGTACATGCGCGCGAATGCAATGATAAAGAGAGATAGTCGTACATGTCTCGAATCAACATGTGCGTATGGATTGAAACTTGAAGTGACACTATCGGACAGAACTTTCCGGTAGACCTGATATTTATATTCGGTGTTAACGATACAAGAATAGTCACGATCAAGACGTGAAAAGCTGCGACACAACTTGCGCCGCGCGGCAGACCTTAAGAATCCTTTTAACATAATTTAACGCTTTCGATGCGTGGGCGGTTGGGTAATACCGGCACGCTCGAGATGTGGTAATAAACATACTACACAGCAGTTTAATTGCCGGGGTACTTTCCAAATCAGATAATAGACATTTTATTGAATTCAGAGCCTGTAAAGCTGTGTCGGTGGTTTGTCGTTGCGGCAGACCGCGGACGTCGATAAAGTTAGACGTTTCTTTTACGTTTAGAAAGTTTCATCCGCGTGTTATAATAACGTGCATGGTACGTATATCTTTTTCCAAGAACGCAGGATACAGTAATGTCTCCTTAATCGACGCTCAGATTGTGCACAAAAATGGACAACTTGAGGTGCGATTTATTCGAACCTCGCAGCTCGTTTTTATAGTTCGGCTCGAATAATTGTATCCCCTTTTCGCAAATTTTATAGTTGTTGACACTCGACAATCATAAAAGACGAGCCACAAGGTTTAAACAATCGTGTCTTCTCTTTCAAAATTGTCCATTTTTGTGGACAACCTGAGCGTCAATTAGAGAGACATTACTGTATTTGGGAAGTGAGTAGAACTTTATTCTGTCTTTCAAGAACTGAATAATATTCATACCTAATTTAAGGCCTGTCAAGATGTGACAAGGTTATGTCAAGGTTATGTCAAGGTTTTAATATCTAAAGTACGTCAGTTTAGCAATGAGCAGGAGGAAAATTGAATGTACAATAATGTCTCCCCAATTGTCATTGTATCTCAATTTATCCAACGGAAGGAACGATAGGTTTTTCAATGCATTTCAATTTCCCGAAATACGCGCGTCGACACTTTCTTAAACTCTGAGATTAACCCTTTGCACTCGAGAAGTCATTTCAACCGTAAATCTAAAGTAATTCCTCCGACTCGCAGCATGTCCATTTTATATGACCGAGTGCATTTTACGCGTATGAAATTGAGTCTTCTGACTCATGCAACAGTCACACCTTGAACAATTTTTTAAATCGAAGCTTTACGAATACAAGAATTATTCTGGAACGTGATACAAACATTTTAGCGGCGTCTCGGGTTTTTACGAATGCTCGTTTCTTTTTTCGAAAACTGAGCAGTGGATGGAGCAATTCGGTCCTCGGATGCTCGATCGACGAGCGAACCTCTACAAGAATTTCACAGTGACTATAGGAAATCAGAAAAAAAAGTTCGATTGATTTGATTTCAACCCTAGATTTCGATAACAGAATAATCAAATTCTGCATCGCGATCCAGAGGAACCGAGTAACATTCACGTTCGGTGAACCGTGTCTGAAATCTTCGTCGCGAGTTTGAAACGTCGTTACCGCGTAAAGGGTTAACGGAACTGTCAGAGAACTGCCGGCAGACGAAGCCGTGTCATTCGGTCGTAATTTTCGCTTGAATTCGGTCCGGGCCGGATAGGCGGCGCGCGATAAATAAAAACGTTCAAAAACGCAGACACGACGAAAGTTGTAGGAAAACCGGGAAAGAGAATGACCGGGCTCCGGCGAGGGGCAGAGGAGGGGAGAGTAGGCGTCACAGTGGTGGCAGCCAGCTCTGAAAGCGCCCATTGAAATGACTCGCGGCGCTCCGACGTATGCGAATCATTAATTGAAATTCCGTTACACGAATGCTAGGTGCACGGCCGAAGTATACTTAACCCGTGCGCGGCGGTCTCACGCACGCGTAGCTATCGCCGGCGTGTCTAGGGACAGGCTCGAACACCGTAGACCAGATTCTATCGTTTTTATCGAGGTAAATGAGCGGGCTCGCACGCTTAATTAGGAGCGCGGTTCCGCGGGCATCGCGTTCCGCTTAGCGCCGCCGCGACTGTTTCTGCGCTCGGCCGCGATGAAAATAATTGGGCGAAGCGAGCCGCGCCGCGCGTTAGTCGCGTGTCGACGGAACGCCCTGCAGAATTAACGGCACATTTCGAAACAAAACGACGATTACGGAGGTGTGTGCCGGTCGATCGGCGCGTTTCAAAAGCAGCACGCAAACGCTTTTATTTTTACGCCGAGCAATTATCGGCGGCGGTTGCTCGATTGAAATAATTGAAACGTTTCATCGAACGACGTTTCGCAAAGCCGATCAACGTAAACAATGAGATTTCCTTCCGAATGCAACTGACATTCAGAATATAAGCTGTCAGTTTGCCCACTTTTATCGCGGAACCGCGATATCCGCGATCGCGCGCCAACAAATTCGAGGCGCAATCACGACGCAATCTACGTAAATGCATGCATACGGTGTCTATTCTTATTTATTCGAAGCTCGTCGATCGAGTCTCACGATTTGTTCCCCACAACAAACTGTACACTGTACGATAAGAACAGTTTTTGGGCTACAGGCTGAATATAAATATCTTTTTTTTATTTAGACGGCGCGGTTGATCTCCTGAAAATTGTTTTTGGAATATTCGCTATTTTTATGGGAATTGTTTGATGGCATCTGTGGTGCATCCATTTCGTAGACAACCGAAACGCATAGTGAAATATGAAGCTTTAATATAAGCTTTGGGAGAAACATTGATTAATACGATATATTTATCTCGATATTTATTAATTGATTAAATTGAAATCTTCGAAAATTAATTTTCACGTTTGCCACTTCGAAGGTTTTTCCACTTCGAAGGTTTTCAATGTAAAGTAGAGTGCTCGTCAATAACTCAATTCTAGATAAAAAAAATGAAACATATTGTTGCGAATCTCTCTGTTTTTCTCGCGTCGCGGCATTTTATTCACGATTAATATAGAATATAATACAACACAATTCAATTATATTGCAGATCTTCGAATTATGGTACTTCCGGGAAATTAGAGATTACTGAGATCATTCGAAGCAACTTTTCCCTATACAAAAATGTTCTCCGAGGCATCGTTTACGAGTTATTGACGAAAAACAGTGACCAATGAGAGGCGAGCTCGGCTGGCGCAAAGCGGCCCAGCCAACGAGCGCACGAAGCCCAGTTCCGCTCATTGGCTCGGCCGCCTAGCGTCAGGCGAGCTCGCCCCTCATTGGTCATTGTTCACCGTCAATAACTCGTAAACGATGCGTCGGAGAAAATTTTTGTAAAGGAAAAAGTTACTTCAAATCACCTCGGGAACTCCTCATTTCCCGGAAATACCATATTTTTGGGTATTAATACCGTAATAATCTAACCCTATAGAATATAACACAACACAATTCAATTATATTACAGATCTTTGAATTCGTAATGTCGATCGTTCGACGGCCCGATCTCGACTCTCGACTGTCTGTTCGTACAACTATTCCGTGGCAATCCCTATCTTCCATTACTTGATTTGGACGAGTCGCCGTAACAATATATATTGCTAAAAAAATGACCAACCATAGAATTCAAGCAAGAAGACCAACCATAAGCGCAGGGATCGAGTGTAAGGGTTGATCTGTCTCGCGCATTCGTAATACGAAATAAATAAAACGATTACAGTAACGTCTCCCTTACTGTCGCTCAGATTGTCCACTAAAATGGATAATTTGGGAAGAGGAGATACGATTATTCGAGTCTCGCGGCTCGTTTTTATATAATCGTGGACAATTTATAACTACAAAACTAAACCGCAAGGCTCGAATAATCGTATCTCCTCTTCCCAAATTGTCCATTCTTGTGCGCAATCTGGGCGTCGATGAGAGAGACATTACTGTATACAGCAACGCGGTCTTAACCAACGCGACCGGAATATAGCTGAAACAAAGTAATTCGCGCGGTAAGAGAACTCGCGATCGCGCATGGTTACAATTTCCGCCGATCGTTCCTCTGATCGCCTAAACCGTGATAAAACTAGTTTTACGCGTACGCGAACCATTGCAGCAAGTTTCGAATCGATTGGCCACCGGTGCTATACGCTGGCACAGGCAAACAAAGTAGCCGGGAGTCGCGGGGGGGACGGAGAGGCAGCGCGTTTCAGTTTCGTCTCGCAGCGATTTTTCCGGGCTCTTTCGCGACTCTGTAGCCGGGCGGTAGCTCGCCGCGTAGCCGCACGCGACTCTCCGGATCGCTCTTTCGAAGTTCACCGCGATATCTCTGTGATGTCTGCCCGGCGTCCCCCCTCCCCCTCCCCCGTGCAAGAGAAAATGGCACTTTTGTGTCCCGGTTACTAATGCGTCCCGTAATAATTTCGTTTTTTTTGCCGACTACCTTTTACGCGCGCGCTCGCCGCGCCGTCTACTCGCCGCAATTTCTAGACCGGTCGGCACTCGCATCCTTCTGTCGCGCGTTCGGACCGCATCCGCGGCCGCGCCCGCACGCGGACGGCGCATACGTGTGCGCCAGAAAAGAATCGGCCGTAAAACGGGCGGGGCGGGAGGGAGGGAGGAGAAAGGAACCCGGCGAGTTTTATCTGGTCGGCTACCTGACAACAGGACATTTTGTATTATTTGCAGAAACGACATGGACGTACGGACAGAAAGATCTCGAACCGCTGGCCGGATAGCGCCGACCGGACGCGTTACTCCGACCATACATCAAACGGCCGGAGGAAGAAGGAAGGCGATACCGGTCCCGCCGCCCCGGGTGCCAACCCCCATGCCCACCGCCAACAATAATCAACAGAAGTAAGTAAATTATGTCACCGATATATATCCCGTCCCTCCTTTCCGCGGTCCCTTCTTTCGATGCGAAAATATTGTCGAGCTCGGGGGCTCGATACCCGGCTCGACACGCAGACGGAAAAAGGGCCGCTAAAAACACGGTTCCGACCGGCAGTGGTTCTCCGTTCGGCCGGCCGCCGAAGTTTCGATGGCCGGAGGGCAGACGCGCGGGACCCAGGGCTCGTCGCCTCGTATCGGTTTCCATCGCAACGTTTTGCTCGATGATGCAGCGCTCGAATACAAGTTCCGTCCCGCGTCGAATGTCGAATGTCGAATGTAAGGGGACAGACGCCATTAAGTAAGTGGGATTAGGCGAGCGCGCGCGGAGTTTGGTCTCGACTGATCAAAGTTTACCGAGCCACCGGTCGGTCACTCTGCCCTCTCCCAACCAATTCCAAGATGTTTCCTGGCCTCTGTATTCTGTATAGAGAGGAGTCGCTAGCCCGCGTAGTTTCCGCTCGGGAATAGCCAGTAATTCCGCGTTCGATTCAATTACATTAGACCTACGATCGCCGGGACTCGCGTCGGATTGTTCGCGCGAAAATCGAAATTTCGATCGGGATTACGGTGTGCGGGAGGCGTTCCGATATCGGAGGCTCGCTGGTTCTCCCTTCCACTGGGTTTTCAATCGTTCGTACGACCGAGGTTCGAATGTTTATGTCCGGTAACGCGGGGAATGGGTGGATGGAAGCAAAGACGAGGCGATTAAGGAGGAAATACGAAGGAACTAAGTGGATTAATGTATTGTAGCAGTCATGAGAATGACGAAAAAATTCACAGAATACTTCTGAAGATAATCGACAATTTTTAATATTAATTATTAAGAGTTAATTTTAGAATTATTATTAACAGTTAATTTAAATATTATTATCAAGAGTTAATCATTTTGTTTGGTGTTCTTAAAAAATGATTGCTCTGCTAATTGTTTTGCTAATTAGTCTGTCATGCAATTTAATTACGCACTTGCGTATCAGAATACGTTTTCGTATAACTGAGATTATGCTCGTTCGGATAATGAAGGTAATGAAGGTTCCGAAGCATTTCGGATAATGAAGGTTCGATTATGAGTTCGTATATCAGAGGCGGAACATTAATGCGTTCGTATAAACAAGATGATGATAAACGAGGTTCTGCATAGAATTTTAATGTAAGCGTCTTATAAACAATCGTCGTGGCCTTTCTTACTTTGTCCGACCTCTGTGAACAACGTAGTCACTGATCTGCGGATTTTTACGTTAATATCGGTTTTTACGATCGCAGGAATTGGAAACGAGAAAAACTTTCCCTCTATTGGGGATTCTTTCTCACTTGTTCCAGAGAGATAAAAATCTTGCTGAACTTCCCTGAAGATTTTACGATGCTGAGGTTTTAAGCGGATTCGCAAAGACGCGAGCTGAAATTAAATTTTCGATCTCGTTGCGCATTCATGATATCGTAGCCGGAGATTCTCGTGAATTAACTTTCGGTGACTTCACAGGTTGAATAGCTATCGCAGACACATTTTAGAATCAACATTTCTCTATTGGCAGGAATCAGCTGAAAACTTCTGTTCGATTCTATTCGATTAACTTGCTTAATAATAGATTCTTACGAATGCTTGAATTTACTTTTATCGCGAGACTGCAGAGATACATTTATGAGGAATTTATTCGATAAATTTGTCACTCCGGACAAATATTACAATAAAAGTCGCTAAAAGTCCGAATAAATGTTGTTGCTTTAATACAAAACTTATCGTGCCAATCAGAATGACCGATTCGACATAATTTATTTTAAACTTGTGAAAATTATATGGCGAATTTTGTAAGAAATGATTGAATACATTTCTTAATACAAACACACTTTGTAATGAAAATAGCAAGATGACTAAATAAATTCAGTCTTGCTATTCTTATGAAGCAACACGTGTCAACAATCTTTAGTACTCTTTACGATTAAAATTAACCATTCGCTTCCCAGCTTTTCTTATAAACGTCTCTTTGGCGTCGCTAATCGCATAGACCAATCGTTTAATCATTACGATCTAATGCGTTCATCGTTAAGGCCATAAAAGACTTGGAAGGCTGGATGGTAGCTGTGCCACCACTAAAAATTTGTCGAATCTATGAAGGTACAGTAATGTCTCTCTAATTGACGTTCACATTGTCCACGAAAATGGACGATTTGGGAAGAGGAGATACGATTATTCGAGCCTTGCGGTTCAGTTTTATAATCACGAATTGTCAGCAGCTATTAAAACGAGCTGCAAGGCTCGAATAATCGTAACTCCTCTTCCCAAATTGTCCATTTTTGTGCAGAATCTGAGCGCCAGTTAGGGAGACATCATTGTATCAAGGAACGAGTACCTTTCTCGCGAAAGAATCGGACGCAGTTATTAGGATCATATTCGCGCGTATCGCAACTCGATGCGTGCACAACTTTGCTCGCGAGGTTCGAAGGTTTCGCACGAATTTCTGGTTTCATTGGGCAGCGAGGATCGGCTTCATTAAGTACTTCTCGCCGATGCAACAGAGTGCGAGCAGTTCGTTACGTCTGATTAAAGTTCGCGAAACCGACCACTGGCCACTTCGCTGACCTCTCCGGCCAATCAGCATCGACCACACGTTGGACCTTGTAAGTATACCGATTTTCGGAATTCCTTTACCGCCGTCACTGTAACGCTTTATCGAGTACACGATCATCGGTGTAACCACTTTTTCCGCTCACAATTAACGGTAGTTAAGTACAATGTAAAATGTTTGTAGTTCATTTCTGTTCTTTCGAATGTCATCAACCTAATGCGACTTTTTATTGTCATGTTCGTGTGGATTTGTTGCTGCAAAATTATTACGTCTTTCATTATCGAAGCTGGTCTTTGATGTTGCCGCTACATTATTTATCGTATTATTCCTCGTATTATCGAATATCAATGTGATTGTTTCGTGTAGTTCGAAGGAGCTATTTACCCGGAAATAAATAAATGTAGATACATATATATTATACATATACACACACATATATATATATATATATATATATATATATATATATATATATATGTATATATATATATGAAATATTAACTGACATATTGTATCATTAGCAATCGGAAATATTATCGCTGGAAAGTTAATTATAGAATTCGTAAAATGACAACATATTGAACGTACGCATGCATACACATGTATATGGGTAGACGCAAAACGATAACATAATGTAATTTAATATTTGGTTTAAAATGCATCACGATGTAACGCAATACGTCCGACCAATGCGGCTGCTCATTACCAATTATCGCGGTTCGCGAAATTCGATGTAATAAACGTTCAATTTATACGCACATTCTTGCGGTAATAAATGGAATTGAAAATATCAAATTACTTTCTGGTTAAATTACCTCGTTCGGCGAACGAACTTCGGAAAAAAAAAAATGCATTTTCGCGACATCAATGACAATCGAGAGTCACGAGAGGCACGACCGTGCCGTTTTAAAAATTGTGTCGACGACCGACGGTCCTCCCATCGAATCGCGCAGAAATAAATCCTGTTTCGGTATACATTTCAAGAAACATTTTTGTTCGCAGAGATCGTATAACAGCGCCAATTTCGAACATGGACTTTGCTATACGATACGCTACGGTTACTACAACATAGCGTAGGATTCACCGACGCAATCGAGTTGAAACTTAGATTACATCAACGCTTCTATCTAGCCGCGCGGTCCGGGGTAGATAGAACTCCCTCGAAACAAAGGTTGGGGGGACCGTGTAACTTGCTTATTCACAAACCTTCGAGATAGTCTGATGTTAACCAGGAAAAAAACCGTGCACTATTTATTTAGTGCCATGCACTGTTAGTAAACTGGTTATTTAAACTATGCACTATTAGTAACCTGGTCCCGTTTTTCCTTGCTTTTCGAAACAAAGGTTAGGGGGACCGAGTAACTTGCTTATTCGCAAACCTTCGAGATAGTCTGATACTAGCCAGGAAAAAATCATGAACTATTTATTTAGTGCCATGCACTGTTAGTAAACTGGTAATTTAAACTATGCACTATTAGTAAACTGGTCCCGTTTTTCCTTGCTAGGGTAAATATAGGTATTACTGTGGTTTTTTAACGAAGATGAACTTTGAGAAGGAAAATAAGACCTTTTACGGCAATAAATTGACAACTTGGCTATATCTATTATTCTTTAACTTGAATATTCACTTTTCTCAAGATATTGGATCTCCGAAAGCATAAATTTCATTGAGAAGCGTAATTTAAAGGAACCACACGCGTGCATATATTACTGCGGTTATGTTACCTATTACTGCAAGGTAAATATTGCGGAGGGTTCGATTACTGCGTGTCAAGGTTGATATAACCTATTTTCTTTTAAATATACACACGCAGCTGCAATTCCTAGGACCAAAGCATTCTCACTGCCTCACTTCACAAATTAAGCATAGGTACTCCAAGGTACATAGTTCGGTAAAGCACCGCAGTAATGTGAACACATATAAAATACTATGCGCCCCCAAATACTGTGTTAGTAAATAATATCTCAGGATAAATGATAGCGACAGTGTACGTCGATCTTTTACCACAGTAACGATTACTTTTTCTAAAAATAACGCTATAATGAACAGTTTATTATTAATTACCAAAATATAAATGCCCCTCGAATCAGGATTCATAGCTGCCATTACGAGTATTAAGACATCCGAATATCAAAAGTCAATAAATAAATTAAAACTACTGTCGTAAATTAGCAATATTAAACGTGTTAAAAATTATGACATTCATTTTTAGAAGGTTACACACTACAAGACTTTATTTATCACGATAGATGATAGCGACAGTGTACGTCGATTTTTTACCAAAGTAATGATTACTTTATCTAAAAATAACGCTATAATGAACAGTTTATTATTAATTACCAAAGTATAAATGCCTCTCGAATCAGCGTTCACAGCTGTCATTACAAATATTAAAACATCCG